CTTGAGATACAGATTTACCAGCTTTCTTGAAATAAATTTCTAGAGGCTGGATGCGCCAGGATGTAAACACACGTGCTTGCATTTCAGCTCATCTTTCATCAAATGAAGTTTAAAAAAAAAACAACTTCATTTAAACTCCCAAGTTTGCATTAGCAGGTCAGCTGCTCTTTGAGTCAGTAGAAGTCTACATTTGAGTTACTGACATCCTTGAATGCAGAACTAATTAAGGAAGGATTTTAAGTGCAAGTTCGGAGGATGATGATCAGCGGTGTTTAATGATCTGCCTCCTTCAAAGCTCGAGGAGAAAAGGAGGTCTGTCCTTCTGTGCAAAGACAAAAATGACTACACTGAAGTCATTTAACCTATTAAGAAGGCAGCTTAATGGCTTTGTCTGCAATGTGAAAATTCTCGTTATGCCTTCATCTCAGCTTCATCTCAGGATGCTTGAACTTCTCTACCACTCTGGTTTACTACATTTTATTCCCTGTGTCAGCAAGGCAACACAAGGCTTAGTTGCCTTCTGTTTTTGCATTCAGTTATTTTTGTCTTATTCCCTTGTTCTTACGAAAACCTGAGTACTGTGCCTTGGTTGAAAGGCATCAAATGGGGTTGTGGAGACCAATGCCACAGTTTCTTTGGAAGTGGTTCTTGACAGCTCAATACTACAAAAGAAATGAGTTCTTGGCCTTGTCAGATGCTGTTATATGCCAGTAGTGTTGTTCCTCTGACATCTGGCAATGTAGGTCATTCAAGTTTCTGTCAGGTTTTTTAATGTTCTGTCTACCATTGCAAGAAACTGGATATTAATTCAATAGTATCTACATCCTTATATTTTGGCTCCCAAAACTACACCCAGTGCTCAAGGTAAGGCTGCAATGCACTAAAAGAGAAATAATCAGTGCCTTTACATGGAATTGCACTCAGTATTTCAGTTTTGCATCTGGTTAGCTAAAACAACTTGGGCTTTGTTGGGTGGTGAGATCACGGAAGCCTTCTTAAAACTGAGCAACGTGTCCTTGTGTTTTCTGGGCACTTTCATACCAGTGTACAGGCACTTTGATAGTTAAACCTCTTTGATAGAACAGGCTGACAAGATGCTGGTCTAATTAGACAGATGAGGCTATGTAAGGTGATGGGTTTTGCACTGTCCTCATGTCACTCAAAACCATTTTTTTCAACCTTTGATCCCCATAGCAGAGGAGAGAATGACTACCTGAGGCAGTGGTCCTTGAAGGTTTATTGCCATTTTCAGAGGCAGAGACATAAAAGAAAGTGCCTGTAAAGGGAAGGGCACTTCTTGGTATAACACTGCAAAGGGGCTTGGTTGAAGTAAGAAAGAGTAAAATCTTTTTATCTCTGGGGTCTGTCTTAAACAAAGAGTTAAACTCAATTTGTTGGTGTATCTCATGAACCAGTTTTGAACCCAAATTATGCTAATTGAAGATGGGGTGGGATGTTTGTGTTTCTGATTTCTTGCTTTTTAAATGCAGGTTAGGCACAGAATTTGCTTGTTTGAGCAGCCTTAATATTTATATTTACAAAACTCTAAACAGACATTATGTAAAATATAGTTTTTAATTTTATGTTTCCTTAGACTTGCGGGATGTCAGTATAGGCTTGACCATTCTGTAACACCAAAACCTTAATGTTGGACAGCTATTTACCATAGCCTTTATGCCACTCTTCCTTCGATAAGAAATACAGAACTTACTGTTCAACCAGTTTTTTAAAATATAAATGGAATGATGTTGCATTTTTTGTCAGCTTGTTGGTTTATATTCAGTTTAACTGGGTACAGTGACTTGAATATCTGAGGAACAGCTAATGTTATGTAACACCGTGAGTCTTTGAAAATTACATGCTTTCTTCTGAGGTGCAGTGATACATAAATTAGACACAACTTGTAAACAGCTGTTTAGAACAATTTTTCTTGCTAAGTTGTTGTTCTAACTCTGTATTTAGCATAAGAAGAAGAAGCTGGTAGGACAAGAGAAACAACATGTCCAGACTGCCAGTTCTGGAAAATTACTGGACCTTTTGTGACTGCATAGCTTTCTTGCTATTGTGTAACTGGTTGTTAAGTAGATCAGAGGAAAGGCAGCTCAGATATGAACAGACAAATAAGACACTTTTTCTAGTGTCACATTTCTAGTATGGTGTTTCTCATTTACCTTTGAATTTATGAAGATGGGTTCTAAGGAGTGAGTATCTGTAAGGTCAGCTGATCCACTTGTGGATCCCTTCTGTTGAACAAAACAAATCCTTGCAGAATTGGTTTCTTTTAGACAGCATCAAAGGGCTGAGAGCCTCCCCTCAAGATGCTTTCTGTTGTGGTTACTCCATAAACAATGTCTTCTCTCTATAAATAGAGGAAATGTTATCAGTCTGGTGGCCAATCTGGATAGCTTTCTCTAACTCCTGTGCTGCCTCCTCTTCATCCAAGAAATGTGAATACAAAAAGAGTGCAAAGGGATGAGCACCTAAGGAACCTATCACAAGGCAGAAATATCACTTCATTTTGCCTTAAACGATTGAACAAGGTATGTAGGGTTGGATCTCTGCACCTCTTACTTTTTCAAGTCCCCATGGAGCAGGCTTTTGCTGTCTGGAAGCACTGGGATTGTGAAGGAACTTCTCAGAAGGTGTCTTGAGAACAGTAGCAGGTATGTGTATTGCTTTGTAAGCAGCCTAGAATCCAAAGGCAGAATATTGGAATTAATGTCCTAAGGAAGGAGTAATTTTAAACCATGGTACTGTCTTTGTATTTCTTTACAATACGACTTCAAAAAAGTAAATTGAAGGAAGTAGGAGACTATAAGGAGATGCTGTGACTTTCATGTTTGTGGATTGATGAAGTCTGTATGGGTTTAGAAAACGGCCAGTCTGTATTTATGAAATAATGAAAGCAGAGCTATAATAGAGTGGCCAGGGTTGGAAGGGACCTCAAGGATCACGAATGTGCAACCACCCTGCTACAGACAGGGCCAGCAACCTCCCCATTTAATACTAGACCAGGCTGCCCAGGGCCACATCCAACCTGGCCTTGAACACCTCCAGGGATGGGGCATCCACAACCTCTCTGGGCAGCCTGTTCCAGCACCTCACCACTCTCCCTGTAAAGAACTTCCCCCTGATATCCGATCTGAATCTTTCCTCCCTCAACTTAAAGCTGTTTCCCTTTGTCCTGCTATCCTCATGGTCCTTCTAACTGTTATCTTAACAGTGTGGGCCAGGGCACTGCATTGTGTTCCTCAGCATCAGAGGATTCTTTCAGAAGGGGGGAAGTTTTGGGAGACTTAGCAGTACTTTTCTCCTTTTTCGTCTCAGTGACCAACTCTGTTTGCCTTCTCCTCTCCACAACTGTCAGTAGGTTGAGACTGAAAGTAAAGATACAGAGTTCCATCAACGTCAGCTGTTCCAAGGCCATGGAAAGCCAGGCCTCCAATCAAAGCCAGGTACTGCTGGTTGAGAGGTATTTCAGTGATATTAGATTTAAAAACAAAAAAAAAAACAAAAAAAAACCATGGAAACCAAGGAGGATTTGCATCTCAAAAAAAAAAAAGAGTCCAAATGTTACTGTAAAATGTTCAGAGATAGTAAAACCGTTTTATGTGGTAGTGGCTCAAAAGGTTAGAATGTGTTACTTAAAACTGTTCTTTTCATGAATCATGGCCTTACATGTATGTTATTAATAAAGCTTACCAAGTGGTGGAAGATAACAAAAAATTCAATCTTGGATTGATTTTTTTTTTTTTGCCAGAAAAATGTCCAAGACAGATCAGAAATCTGGAATGAATTTGTTGGTTTACTGGCATCTTCCTCTGATCAGCTAGGCATAACAATGTGCGTCCTTCAAAATCTTCTCTTCCAGGCTATCAGCTGCCCCAGGCTGAAGCTACGAAGTGTGTCCTGTGTTGTAATTGTACTTCTGCCAGAACTTCAAAATGAAGACTTCTCCAAATCCAGATTTTCTCGGTTGGTTGAGTTGGAACCAACCAAGTGGATGGATCTTAATGACAGTTCATGCTTTTTTTGTTGTTGTTTCTGGATTGGATCTTTAATGGTTATTTCCCAAGTCCTTGTTACATGTTTCCTGGAGAAGAATGAAGCCCTTACTCTAATCTAGAATGTGGAACTTGTTTTTGTCCATCTTGCAAAGAGTCAAGTTCTGTCAGAGAACTCAGATTCTGATGCTCTGAAATAAAATATCGTTTCTTTTTCAGTTTTATCTGCCAGAATGCTTGTAGTTAAATAAGAAATAGCAGTACCTCTGGTACCAGCATAATGGTGTCTGAGCATCTTTGTTGTGTTCAGAGTTCCTTTATTGAGCTCAATACATGTACTCTTTTAAGCCTTTGGCAAGGGGCGGTTCAGGTAAGTCCCTATACTAGAGAAGACACAAGCAGGGGAGGGGAATGAGGAGCAATGGGTTGCAAGCACAATGATAGTAAACAGGTAGACTTAGAGACCAGCAAAATGAATGCAGTGAAGGGATGTTTGTTTTCTGTCTTCTAAATCAAATATACAGATCTTTTCACACAGAGGGTGTGTGAGCAGAGGATGCACTGGAACAGGTTGCCCAAGGAGGCTGTGGATGCCCCATCCCTGGAGGCATTCAAGGCCAGGCTGGATGTGGCTCTGGGCAGCCTGGTCTGGTGGTTGGTGACCCTGCACATAGGGCCTAGATGATCACTGTGGTCCTTTTCAACCCAGGCTGTTCTGTGATTTTGAGACTCTCAGAGTAGTGAAATCTCAGAAGTACTGTCAGCTTAGCTCTGTCCTTCTCTTCCCAAGGCTGCTCAAACTTGCCAATTGGTTTGATCAATATTTGATGAATAGAGATACTATCTGTGGAAATAAAATTGCTCTTCAACCTTTCATTGTATGAGGCTTTGTTATTTTTGCAGTTGGCTTCGCTATGAGATGGGATCAGCCCCTCAGGCCCGATTAAAACAAAAATAATGAGGAGGAAAAAATAAATAAAGCAAATCACAAATCAACAACCTGAAGGTTTGGGGTTTCCAACATAATTCAGAATACCAAATCCACGCATCAGGCTTTTGTTGTACTGAAAACTGTCCGTGTTGTTTGCAATAGAGCTTTTTTCTGCTAGATAACTTTTGCACCAACAAGGAGAAAAGAAGTAATTAAAAATATATATGTATCTTAGCATCAAGGAAGCAATGGGCTTATTTTGAGCATTTGTATTCTTAGTGTGAAATATTAGTGAAATTATACAAACAGCATATAAAGATTCTCAGGCTGTACCATACTTGGTGTTCACCTTCACTTTGCAGTGGGAAAGCGTGTCCTTGATGAGACTGATCCCAGCACTGCTGTCATCAGTAAGGAGAGCTGCAAGGAGCAGACAATGTCTTAACGTTTTTAGCCCCCTTTTTTCTTCTCTGTAAGATGCTGTTATGGTCTGGAAGAAACGCAGGCTGCTTCACATTTTGCACCCTCATGCTCAGACCAAACAAACTCTGAAAACGGGGGAAGCGCCTGCAGCTTTCACTTCTGAGCTGGAGCAAAACAAGGCTGATGTGCTCAAGGTCACAAAGGAAGCCGGTGGCTGAGCTGGATATGGGAAATCAGCTTTCCTGCACTGTGGGCTGGAGCTGCAGCCGTCCTCAGTGAGCCTTCCGCACACACCGCTGTACGGAGTTGTGTGGCAGATACTGCTGGGACAAACATAACTCACCCTGTGTTCTTGGAAGCATTTGGCTGTCAGTGTAGCACTCTGGGGCTTTGAAAACTTTCCTTGGGGGGGAGGGCCATCCAGGCATGTCTTCAGCCCCTTTGGCTTTCTTCAGCCCCAGAGAGAGCTTTGTGCCTGAGCGGTGATGCAGAACATCAGATGGCCTGCTTGCGGCCTGGGGTTTTTCTTTTTGTGTGTGACTGTTTTCTCTTTTAAATATAGAAGAAAGCAGTGCTTCTAAAAAGCAGCAGCTGTATTTATTGAGAGTTTTGACACACACCACTATAGCCCTGCAGTGCCGGAGTATTGAGTGAAGACGTGGTGCCACTATGGGTAAAAAAAAAAAAAAAAAGCGGTAATTAAATATGTGCTGTAGATTAGTTTGTGCTGCTTACAAGTAGGCAGGTAGGTTAAGTTGAAGGCTGTTAGCTTGGGATTAATTCCCTTTTGGTTATAGACCAGGATAAGCCTTGTGCCTTATTGCTGAGGGCTGGGAGGGAGGAAAGATTAACACACGCTGTATGGAGAGGCTGAGCTGTGTGAGTCATGTTCCTGTTGGGTTTAATGTGTGTTTCAGCAGAGCCAGTCCACACAGTCATAGAATAGCCCGAGGTGGAAGGACCCGTAGGGATCATTGAGTTTTGCTAAGGGTAAAAGGGGTATTTTCTTTATTTCCACATCCACCTGCAGCTGTTTATAAACATGTGCTTGTCCAGTATTTACGCTCAAACAAACCGCTGTAAGTAGCTTTGAGGTTTTGTGCTGCAGGTTGAGAGCAAACTTAGTGCAGCATGGCACTGACCTTTGCCTTTCGAGCAGAGGTATATAAAGCAGCCCTGACACGGGGAGTGCTGCTGATTCATCAGTGGCATCGGGTTTGAGGGATTTGGGGGAGGGAGGGGAGATGTTTCACGTTTGCAGGTGATTCTTTTTGGTTTTTAATAGCTTTTGCTGCGTTCTTTCCAATCCACCCGCCTACGGCCGAGCTTCTTTCAGCTCCCTTTTGTCGCGGTTGTGGAGCAGAGCAGGTGACGCTGTCAGGTCCGCTCCCTTCGAAGTAGCCGTGAGTCGGTGCGCTGTGAGGCTTCTGCCCGGAACGGCTGCCTAAAGGTCTCCGGACCGGGAAGCGCTCGGAGATTCTCGCAGGGACGCGCCGGAGCCGCTCATTGTTCGCCTCCCATTGTTCCTCCCGGGGCAGTTCCTGCAAAGCAAACGCCGGGGGGGCTTCTGCGAGCCTCAGCGGAACAAAAAGCGGTCGGCGAGCGCAGCTCCAGACATGACCCGGGTCAGGCTTGATTTACGGCTTAGTCGATTTGCGAAGCCGCTGTCAGTTCTGTAAGCGGGAGGCTGCCGGCTGCATTGAGCAGAAGGGGGAGATTAGCATATTAATGCGGCGCTCGCTAATCGCCTCCCCCTTTCCTCCCCTCCCCGCCGAAGGAAGGAAGGGACTGGCAGGGCACTGCCTGCTCGGGGCTGGCCGAGGATGGAGGCAGCGCCCGTTCTCCCGGCGGCCGCGGGCGGCTGCGGCCCCGCGCCCGAATTGGCGGCTCCCGGGGGCCGCCGGCAGCACCGGCACTGAGAGCTGAGCCGCCGGAGCCGGGCTGCAGCCCTGCGCGCTGGGTGCATGCTGCTGCTGCCGGGGGGGGCAGGCCGGCAGGCCCCGCAGCCAGCAGGTGCTGTCTGTATGGAGAAGAGCGGCTGCAGCCCATTCCCGATGTGCTGGGCTAAAGGTACGCGTGATCTGCGTTGTTTTAGCTTTCTTTCTGTCTTTAATTTAACGTTCTATCATCTCTGAGCATTCCGCTTTCCTTCTTCCACGTTCTTCGCCTGTGAGTATCCCTCTTTTCTTCTTGAATGTTTTATCACCTACGAGTATCCCCCTTCCCTCTTCCATTCGACGTTCACCTGTGCACTTAGAACAGGGAGCAGTCACCTGGATTTTCTTTCATCAGGAAAATGTAACGTTTTTCTCTGTGCTTTCAAAAATCATTGCACTGAGCTCTGCAGGTTTCCCTTTTGAAGACTTCACGACTTTGGTTTTAATGCTTTGAAGCACTGAGTGTGATTCTGCTGTGGTGTACCTTACCTTTAGGAAGAAGCTGTTCAGTGGGTATTTACAATGGAAGGCATGCATCTCTTTGCTCGAGGTTTTAGAACTTGCAACCCACACCAAACCCCCCTCTGCCCCCATAAGAGACGGTAACTAGCCACGAAGTATGCATTTATTACAATGAGAGGGCTTGGCTTGAAATTGGGGCTTAATAATAACTGAATGGAAACGTGTAAGTTATTCACATGATTGTCTTGCATTGCAGAACACTAATATTGACACTATCATAATCCAGAGAGTAGTTGTGTGTTGGTGTTGTGGCTGAAAATACCCACATGAAATAGCAGAGCAGGGATTCAACTTAAAATTTTGTTAGTGGCCAAAGAATCAAATGTTTCTTACACGGAGAACAACAGTAGAAGGTTAAGTATTGCTGGTTGCAAGCCTGACTTTCCTCTTGTCTGCTTTCACTTCAGTGCACTTTCTTTTTTGGAAGAGAAGCAGGCTGTGGAGTGTTGCATCACTGTGCCCTTGGATCACAGACAGGCACTGACTTCAGAACTTCAGGGCAGAGGTGGCTGGGCCAGGGAGGACGTGGTGCTGTATGGCAGGTGGATGTAGCTGCTCATGAGCTGTCTTGGGTAAAAGAACACTGAATGTACTTAATTCTTAGCTGTCTCCTTACTTGCAGGATCCATGGAGGGGTATTTAGCGCTGTCTTTGTTTTGTGTGCTTTCTTCAAGTTACTGAAATGCCCAGGCTAAATTAACCACTCTTTGCCATGTGTCAACATATTATGGGAGCACATATAGGAGAAGTAACAGAAAGAAATCAGCAAGCTTGACCACTGTTCTAGTGGTGTATAACGAACTGCAGAATCTGTCAGCTCTGTGTGTGTAATGCAGCAAAAGTAGCTGGAGTGGCTTTGTAGCTGAACCAGAGCTGTTCTTTGCCTCCGTAAAAACCTGCCTACGAGGATCTACCCAGAAGGGGTAACAGCAATACCTGCTCCTGTGCACTGTAAATTGGTAAGGGAAGTATCAGATGGAGTTGGGATTCACCTCCTTGGGATACAGCGAGAGTCAGAATGAAGTTTCCTTAGAAAGAGTAACTTCCATAATGTACAAATAGTGAATAAAATACTTACTTTAAAAGGGGGGGGGAAGGGGTTGTTACCATCTGTTGTTCAGGAAGGCTGTTTAGTGTCGGGGTATCAGTTTTCTTCCTCCTGCTCCAGCACTGGCGGATCAGGACAGCAGGGCTAGCTGCTGCTTGCAAAGATGGCTGCAATGGGCCACTATAAAAGGTATTGATTTTCCCCCCACTCACTGCAACAACTGAAAGGAATGAAAACCAATCCCTCCCTCTTTCCTGGTTGCTTTACGGAGGGTTCTCAGGACATAACTTCTGTGGTGATGTCTTATCCAGCCGCCTCCTTCCTGAAATGGAGAACAACCGTGTAATCTCTTCTTATTCCTCCTGGGGGGGAGAAGGGGGACGCGGGCAGTTACGTAAGGACAAAGGCACTGCATCTCTAAGTCTGCCAGTTGTGGTGATTTTCTAGAAGAGACATACCATCCTCCAAAGAAATAGGACAGATGAGAAATGGCTGGTGCTGTATTTGTCACTGAATGGTGGCCATTCCTTAGTTGATGGATACCCCATGTACTGTTCACCAGCGTAACCTGAGGGAAATGAAACGGATCTGGCCTACTTTGATAAGGGCTGTGAGATATCTACAGTCAAAGAAAGGTAATATATTAATGAGAGAAATGTTTGGTTTGGATAAGGTTATTCTAATCCTTGGGCTAATCTCTTAAAGCTTCAGTTTAACTGCAGCAAAAATTGATCAAACTTCAACAACTGTTTTGTAGCTTCTTAAAAGTGTGATCTTGATGTATTTTTTATGTATAAGATGTCACCTAAATGGTTCCTTTTCTCTTTAAACAGGACAGATGAAGCTTCTGGTCTGTTGTGTGTGTGATCTCGTAGCAAATATTTGTTGTTTGAAAATGCTTTGAAATATTTCAGCAAGTTTGTGTTCACATGTAGTATGCTTACACTCCTGTAGGATAAACCTAAAATCTTCCAGCTCTGTGATACAGTGGGCTGACCTAATTGCTGTTAATTCTGTGTGCTCCATTTGTGGGACTGCACCAAGGACTAAGATAGTGCTTGCTTTCTTTGTGAAACGTTTGTGTAATCTGTGTTGCCAGGTTTTGCCTCCTCTTTACGCCAGCATCAATGCAAAGCAATGTTTGTGAATTTGATAACTTAGCTTGGAGCTGCCTATTCCAGACTTGAGAATATTTTCATTGGCAAGTGGAGAGAAAGTGTGGATTTTGTTTACGGGCACATTTCTTTTCAGGAAGTAAGTCTGTATTGCTTTCCTTCAGTAGTGATAGGATTAAGATGGTTTTGGCTGCTTCTTTCCTCCCACCACCCTTCCCTTGCTAAGTAATTTGAAACTCGAAATCTCTCGTCTTGTGAAATAAATAGGTTCAATCTTGGTCAGACCTTCAGTGAGCGCTGCATTGGTGTCTGGGTCACTGCATTTCCTCCAGCCAAGTACAGAAAATCTCTTATAAGGGATGTTTTCTTTCTGACTTGAAGAGTAGATTAAAATTGCCTTCAATTTTAGCAGTACTTTTTTTGTGTGCGCTAGTAGTAATCTCACCAAAGCTTACAGATATTAAAAGTTGTAGATGATGTGATGTATTGTGCTTCAAATGCTTTTGCTTGTAGCCTTCCTTCCCAAATTTTGCAAGGCATGCTGTTTTTAGTTTACCAAATAAATGTAAATTGAGCAGCTCTTAGTAATGGATAGCTGTGCTGTGTGTCTGTAAGTTACCTACTCTGAGAAGGAGGAAGTTTCTTTAATATCTTCCAAGTGAAGAGCTATTAAATAATTTACAAACAATAAATTGGTGTGATGTGAAATGCATTACACATGAGTAGTCAGGGCAAAGTGATTGCAGTTATTGAACACTGCCTTTAGACTAGGAAAGGTGCTGCTGTCTTCAGATAACTGCAGTTCTGTTCCAAACCTTATGTTGATTTTGTTTGAGAGCCAACAATGTTGTGAAATTTACTAAATCCAGCAGGAAGGAGTTTTACCCCATTTATTGCAATCTGTTAATGTTGCAATCTTCTAGAAGTGATGAGCAACTCCAAGTGAAATGGTTGTTTTCTGGTAAACCTTGTGATTTCAGGGAATGTTCAGAAGGGACCTGCTGGTGATGTTGAATATAAGCCAGGTTTTGATGCATAGGAGACAAGTTCAGTGCTTGTTCTCCCTCATTCCCATCCTTACAGTCTCTGCTGTTCTACTAACAGGAAAATAAATGATTTTAGTCTTGCAGACCCTTGGTATTTTAGGTGATGGCTGGAAATGGACACAGCAGTAGAAATGGTGTAAGAGTTGCTGGTGCTGGGAAAGTAGTCAGTTATTTAGGGTAATTAGTCTCTAAAATGAGAGTTCTCTTTCATTTGAAAAGCACTGTCTATATAAGGTAGGCAGATAGTAGCTTTGGTGCATTAAGAGAGAAAACACTTGGGAAAAGAAGAATTCAGTCTGTCATTTGACAGTCAGCTGGTAACTTGGTTCACTGACTGCATCAGCTGATGTGACACGTTAGCCACTTATTTCCAAACCATAGATGTATCCAAACTTTTGTTACTGACTGGCCTTTTACAGTGTGAGAGGTATGCATTGTGTATTTTACACACATTTAGGCACAGAAGTACAGGTATGAGAATGCTGATGTGTTTCCATTAGTGAGATAGAAGATGGACCTTGAGATACTTGTACAAGAAAGGAAGGCGATTGTTTTGAACTCCTGGAGAGCATTTAATGTTACCTGTGTAATGCAGATGTGTGATCTTATCAGTGGTAGCACTTAGGAAGGAACCGGTGTGGAATTGAATTCTGGGCTGTCTTTGACAAAGCGACACTTACGCAAAACAGAATGTTTTCACTGCCCTTTTGAAGTTGCTTCAGATGAAGACTGAAGAGCAAAATCTGGATGGTGGTATTTAAGAGGATGATACATTGATTGAAATATTCCTCTTCTGCTGAAAGTTCAAATAAGAGTTTGTAGCCTTAATAGCCTTCTTATTCGAGTTAAATGTGGGTTTTTATCATGAATCAATAAGAAAAAAAAGTGCACGTAAGTATTGATACACACATTCATACGTGTATGTTCACCCAGTCTCACTTTTTCATCTATTTAGCCTGGCAGTAGCTTGTTGCTATGTTTAGAAATCAGCTTCCATAGCTAGTAATCTGAAACTAAAAACTAAGACAAGGAAGGTTTAGGTTGGATATTAGAAGGAAGGTGGTGAGGCACTGGCACAGGTTGCCCAAGGAGGCTGTGGATGCCCCATCCCTGCAGGCATTCAAGGCCAGGCTGGATGTGGCTCTGGGCAGCCTGGTCTGCTGGTTGGTGACCCTGCACATAGCAGGGGGGTTGAAACTAGATGATTGTGGTCCTTTTCAACCCAGGCATTCCAGATTCTATGATAATCCCTCAGGTCCTTTCTTTTTTTTTGCCTTTTTAACAAAAGGAATCCTGTGGGCAGGAGGACAATATAATGTGATGCACGGCTTTTCTTGGAAGGACTGTTGCAGTAAAATTAACTTCTCAGATTTGCTTTGCATTTGTAAGAACAGCATCAGCT